GACAAGATGTGGCGGACACCAGGATGCGCTTGATGTGGGGGCATGGTGCCAGAGAGCAGTGCGGGAGCAACGAACGGTGCACTGGTTCCATCGACTCCCTTAAACACCTAACAACTAGTCTGGTTTGGACGGGGGGGCGGGGGGGAGGCGTGGGGGGGTGGGTGAGGAGGCGGGCGGGGGTGAGGGGGAACCTAACAACTGGTCTGATTTGGCGGGTGAGGGAGGCGGGCAAGGGGAGAGAGCAGTGGTGTGGGTGCACTTTGATCCCCAAAAACCTAAGAACTGGTTTGATTTGGCTGGTGACGAGGGGGGGGGTGGGGGGGAGGCGTGGGGGGGGTGGGCCAGGGAGGCGGCGTGGGAGCATCAAAGAGTGTGGGCTGAGGGTTAACTAAGAGCTTGGCCTAGGCACCCTGAAGCGCGGCAAAGAATTCAGAGCACCGTCCCTGCAAGCGAGTCAGTGATAAGAATAGAAAAAAGAAGTGTCTCAACCCTAAACCCTATATCGCGCAAGCGTTGCACTCCATGTATCCGCTGTTTGGCCTCAAGAATTGTTAGATTGCTGAAAAGAGGGCCGCAAGCATATCCCCATACCCTGCGACATAGAAACCTTTAAAGGAGCTCCTGCTCCATAAACCCAACTCTAAACGGTAAATCCTTTTTTTGAGGGACCTCTAACCCCGAGGAACCTGTTCGCCATCGGCCTGAACGCGCTGCTGATGGTAGTGTGCGTGGCACTGATCATCCAGCCCCACAGCGCGAATAGGATGTTGAGGTATCCTTGGGTTGAGCCCCAGATTTATGGGTTTACTAAACGCTCAGGCTTCAGTCGCTCTCCAGTATGGGAGGTTCGTTCGTCCTTTCGGGGAAAAATTGGGGTGGATATTGCCTGGGGGGGTTTGGGATTTGTATAGGTTCCCCAGGTGCCCTTTATCGGAGCCAACCAAATGCCGAACAGTTTGTTTATCTGGCCATGCGCTACATACAGTAGGCATATGGCTCGGTCCAAGGATGTAGTAGGCCATCCACCCTTCACTGCACCCTGCACCCCAAACAGCTCAGCAAAGTGCCATCCGAGGGTTCCATGTGGGACACGTGGCACTGATAGACAGGCATGGCGCAGTGCTCTAAACCCTGAACCGATCAGGTACTTGGAAGGCACCTTCCACAAAGGGGTCTACCGCGTCTCTGCACCTGGCGCGCATTTGGGGAGTTGGGGCTTTGCATTCGGGGTTTGCAGCCCCTCCCCCTCTTCACGACGTGGCTGGTAAGGATGTCAGGCTTTGCAAGTTTGTTGTTGGTATGTGCAGGTAGCAGCCGCCTTTATCCAGGCATTAGCTGGTAGATACCCGCTACCTGTGGAGTTTTGCATACGGTTATGGGTGGTGATATTCCAAGAAATATTTCGAGGGTTGCAGGCATAAGCTTTGGTAAGTAAGGCACCTGACTCAATCTAGAGCCATGGTTACTAAATCCCTCTCTTATACTCCCTATTACGGGGATGGGGGTTTATTTGTCACGGGTCTACATTACTGTTGACAGCTAGCCTTAGGAGTGTCAACGTACAGTTCTGAAGCTCTCAAATCTCAGAGCTCTAAACAAGACTGTTGGCTGGGCTTGTGCTCATAAGCCTACGAAGATTCAGTGTTCACCACTGAACAGAGATGTTGGATTAAACTGGTCTTCCGAATCACAACCTAGTCGTCAACGAGTTCTGTTTACCTCCTGAGGGAGGCTTGGTTTCCGCCCAGTCGGTCATGATTCTGACTGGATTTTCAAAGGCTGGAGCTACCTCACAGATGGTGATCGAAAACCAAGTTCAAATTCGAGTCTTGTCCCCTTGGTTGGTAGGAGAAATCGTTAACGGCAGTGCGTAGAGTGTCCTATCAGGCCGCGATTGTCCACTGCATTGCCACGGTGTTGGTGCTTGGCAGCTTCCTTGCCTACATTTTGGAAGTGCCTGGGCACGCAGTACCAGACAGGTGGGTTTTAGAGTATACGAGGAACAAAAGCCAGCGCAGTCGCAACATGTTGGTTTACAAGGAACAAGAACGAAGTGGTCGTGGGATGTTGGCACGCATAGCAAGAATCCCTTGTAGTATATGAGTGCCTCAAATCCGAGTAAGAGCGGTGCTCCCCGTGGCAGTAACTGTGGCATTTCAGGTGGTGAGGGGTTTAGCAGCGATGACATCCGTGAGAAGCACAACATGAATCACAAACACAATTGTTTACTTCGAGCATCCCCACCCTAAATTGCACAAGAGCGTAATGTTTCTTGGAGGATTTGGGATACTCTGCGGTTGGGCACTTCATGGATACTTGGTGGTTAGGCACTGCAGGGATGCTTGGCGGTGGGCACTGCAGGGATACTTGGTGGTTGGGAACTGCAGGGATACTTGGTGTTTGGGCACTGCAGTCAGGCTCCGGGCGGAGGGCGAGCAAAACAACCCCACTGCGAGGGTGGGGGAACAACCGTAGTAAATATCATACCTAGACACGTACCAGATCCTAAGCCCAGATTGTTGCTAACCCCAAGCTCTACACCCATCCTTTGATTGATTTGCGAGCTCAATTGGTCCTATCACATGTGCAAGACGTCGGGGCCCTGCTGCAGTAGTGCAGAGGCATTTCCGGCTTGTCCCAGCACCCTCCTAGTACCCTTAATTGGGGTTATTACGATCCGAACACCGAACAGTGGGTACTCAGCCGAAATAGGGGGTAGTCGGGGGGTCTAGGTTTGAGTTTTTTGCCGAGAGGAACCCTTCACGATCCTTTGTAGCTTGAACTAACACTGAAAGGGCACCATGCCGTTATCGCGATATAGTTCCTAGGCTACAGAGCTATCATAGTGAAGTCCGGTCCAGATGGGTTTGGAGATTGGCGGTTTTTCTTTCATAAGCCCTCAAGGGCTGCCAGAAGTCACGACTATTGCGGTTGTCATCGCTGCTGCTACTGCTAAACCAGCACCGCCGCCGCCCCAACCACCGCCAGCGCTACCGCCACCACCGCAAGAAGAATGACCATGACTACTAGAAGTTTTCTATACCTCCAAAACTCCACTAACCATGTTCATTGTCATGGTTGCTGCCTCAGAACCTGCCCCGCATCATCAGCAGGTGCTGCTGCTGCTCCACCTTCCAATTCCAGCCACTCCTTCTGCTCTTGCCGCTGCTACTCCTACTGTTGCTGCTGCCACTCCTCCTGCTGCTGCTGCTGCTCCGAATTCTACTTCAACTCCTACCCCCTGCCACTCCTGCCATTCCTAGCCCTGCTGCTCCTGCTCCTTTTATTACTACTTCTACAAGTGCTCCTGCAGCTGCTGTCCAATGCTGCTCCTGCCTCCTCTTCCTACTTCCACACCCCAATGGAGCATGTGCTGAGGGTTTTCAAGCTCCCGAATTGACAGGCTGTGAAGGCCCTGGATGCGGTGGGCGGCACTGGAATTCCAATGTTGGCGCCGCTTGGTGGGATTAACATCACTGGCAAGAGCTCCGTTCAGCGCTGAGTGAAACACACACACACACACAACTGTGTGTAAATAGTAGTTTCTATTTTCTTGTCCAATATCCCTATATATCCCCAATATAACCATTCACAATATTACAAATGATATTCCCAGTTTCCACTTCATGTGCAATGTATTTTCCATATTCCATTTGATTCTCCATTATTCGGGTATGGTAGCAGGAGCTGTAGCCATCATCTTCAGTCCATGCTTTTGGGCGTAATGCTTAACCCTAAACCTACAAACCGCAAACCTTAAACCCTAAACCCTAAACCCAAACCGTCTCGGACCGTTTGGGGAGCTGTCCTGAGATGAAAGCTTCGAAGCGAAGTTGGCTCTGAAAGACAGGTCTCCCTTAGGAGGACCCCTTACCCTGTAATAGTGGTATATTAGGGTTTAGGGTTTAGGGTTTGGGGTTTGGGGTTTAGGGTTTAGGGTTTAGGGGTATATTAGGAGTATAAGAGGACCCTAATAGAATCCCTATTATCCCTTATAGTCACTATTACTGGGTGGGGGGTCCACCTAAGGTCTCCCCTAGAAACCTTTTCGTCTACCTAACGTGGGCGCTGCGCAGCCTTACCCCTTCTTCTGTTTAGGTTTATAGTCCCCCCTATAGGGATAATCGAAAAGAAAATGGAAACCCCCAATAGTGAAGAATCAAATGAAAAATAACACATGACATGGAAACTGGGTTATATACCCTTAACCCTAAACCCTTGGGATTCAAGAAGCCGGAACGAAATGGCCCCAACCATGTCACAGATGAGACCAAGCTGGCCTGGCTGCGGTTGAAGCAAAGAACTTAAATCAAGCTACCATAATGAGTATACATATATATATATAGTAAAACATATGGCTTCCCCAGTACGGTAATTAACTTGAATTAAGTTCCTGAACGGCATCCCAAACTCGGGACATTGTTCGGGATTCTTCTCCAGACGAAGTCAAACTTGCTTCAGACGGCAACATATGTAAAAGGTTTGCATTCAGCAGGACTGCTATTGTTCCGCGACAACCAGCAAAAGTTCTTGCAAAAGCTCCGAAGGGTTCAGGCACCCAAGAAGTTTCTGTTAATGTAGACCCTGATTAATGAGCCCCCTCCCCGCAATAGGGATTAGAATAGGGGTCTACCTTATTCGGGGTCCAAGTTTGTACCCTTCCAGGCCGGGATCAACCAAAGTTAAAACCAGGTAGGTCATAGCCTCTAATATCATAGCCACTAGTAAAGAGAACCTTCTTAAGCTTTGAGCCACCTAAACCCTAACCCTAGAGGGCATGAGTTTGTATTCTCCCAGGTAGGGATATACTTATATAAAGCACCCTATAAGCCCTGAACCCTAAACCGTAGCCCCGAATTTGGTGCCTAAGTGTACACTTTACGTATGCGTATCCTTTGGAAGGCAAGCCAGCCGTGGAAGCGGCATCAGCATTGGCATCTTCATCATGGGCGCAGGACTTCTGTTCCAGGCCATGGCATGTAGGCAATCGGGTTTCGGGATGATAGAGTTTAAGAGTCAGGGATTTGGATTGAATAGGCGGTTCGGGTTACTGTCACAAAGGGTCTGTAGCAGGAGGAATCGGCATGATGACATACTTTGAAATTTCCACCAAAGAAACGTCCCACATCTGCTCACAGAACTGTGAAATCGTCAATGTGGACAGCCAGATATTGGACCCCAGACCTCGCCCATTCGATTCGAGCGGGCCTAGGCTGATCCCACAAAGCCGCCCGACATCCGCAGAAGGCCTATTAAGCGACTTGCCTCACTTATCCCTGAAAGAGAACAGATGGTCTAGGCTTTCCTTGTTCAAAAAAAAGCCCTTATAATGCAATATTCCTTACTAACCCCCAGTAAGAGTTCAAAAAAGCCCTTATAATGTAATCTTCCTTCCTAACCCCCAGTAAGAAGCCGTCTGATCCACAGTCCCACCTAGAAAGCCAGTTACCCATAATTATAGGCAACTTTCCCCTGATTTCCTATTACTTTGGGCTAAAGTAGCCCATTATTATGGGTAACTAGGCTTTCTAGGCAGCTTGCTGTCCTGGACAGATCATGGCGGGTGTCCTCCTCGTGTTCCTAAAGCTTGGAGATGAACAGACTGAAGAGGCCAGGTTTTAAGGGTTTAGGGTTTCAAGGGTTTGAAGGGTTAAGGGTCTAGGGTTGAGGGTTTTAAGGGTTTAGGGTTTTAAGGGTGTTAAGGGCTTAGGGTTTAGGGNNGTGTTTAGGGTTTAGGGCTGGGGTGCTGGGTCCAATTCCAGAATTCGGGGCTTTCAGCACGTTGGTTGCGGGCTAGGCCTCCAACATGTTTCCAGCTCTGTCGAGTAATGTTCAATCCCCCTGCTTTTCTGTGGGTGCGTAGGGAATAAGGGAATAATATCCTTGTAGAATCCGTACATAATATATTCCCTGACTACCTACTAACCCTAAACCTAAACCGTATACTGTATTCCTTTATTCCCTGTTGTTTTGCATCATGCCTT